AATTAAACAGTAATGATTCGTTTCATTGGTTATTTCTTTTGCAAATGCTCAGTGAACAGAAATGTGCGTTTCAAAATGATGATGATGATGATCACATGAACATTAGACATGATATCCAAACGTAATGAAATTTTTATTGAATAGTTGCAGATACTTCTTAACAGTATGAAATGGTTATGATGATAATGGTGGTGGTTGATGATAATGATGATGATAATGATAATGATGATGATGATGATTGATGATGGTGATGATGATTGATGGTGAGGATGATGATGATGGTGATGACGATGATGATGGTTGATGATGGTGGTGGTGGTGGTGGTGATGATGATGATGTGATGATGATGATGATGACGATGACGATGATGATGATGATGATAGTGATGATGATGAGGAGGAAAATAATGTAATGATAGCAATGATAAAAACTAATTGCAACAATATCAGTGATGATAATGATGATAATAATAATTCTGATAAGAGCGATGATAATGATGATAGTAATGATATAAAAGATAATAATATTAATCATCATTATTAACATTTTAGGAATAATAACGATAATCATAATTATGATGATATGAATGATTATATGACTGTGATCATGATAATATTAATTATAATAAAATTATAATGAAATAATGGTAATAAGAATGATGATGATAATAATAATTATAATAATAATAATGAATAATAATAATGATAATGATAATAATATAATAATGATAATAATAATAACAATAATAATAATAATAATAATAATAATAAGATAATAATAACACCCCAATCGTCATTCAATAACGCCCGCACCTTTCCCCGACCTATGAAAAAGTCCTTCCGCCACCTTGGAGGAGTTGAAGGAGTTTGAACAGTCCTGCGGTCCTCGCGGCGCCGGACTTCCTTGTGTGGGGGAACCGTGAGCCATAATAACGGGCGTGTGTGAACCGCAGGTCGCCCGTGCTCGCTCAACAGGTGCGGTTTCTCGCTCAGGACCTGCGCTCAAATGAAATCCTGTAGGTTCCGTAAAAGGGCTTTGGAAAATTATGTTTTGGGTTTATAGGGAAATTTAGGTTGTTTTATGATTCGATATCATAAGTTGGAAGAAGGTTGGGGTGTGTGAGATTTTTTGTTCAGTAAAGGTTGGATGTGTTTTGGGGATGCTAGATGCTCGCTTGAGGTTTGTTGACAATATGGCAGAATGGTGTTAGTTTATGTGTCATTACGCTATTTACAATGTAAGTAGAGGTCGGACAACGCTTTGCGTCGTATTCATAACTTAACCTGAGTAATATGGGTGTTGACACATATATTTAAAGTGATCATTGTGCTTCTAGTGGTGCTTCAAAGGGAAATGTACGATTTTCTTACGGATAGTAGGGAATCGGGTTGAGTCAGTGAACTTTCTTGGAAGAAAAATTGTCTTACTTGTTTGAGCTTTACGGCTCTTTTCTAAGGCATGAAAAGGGCTTTTTCTGGACGCCCACAAGTGCCAGGCATATGATGGTTTCCTAAGTATGTTACATAGAAGAATGGTTGTCCTATAAGTAACTTTGGTGAGTAAATCAGTTGATCAGACTGTCAAAAAGAGGTCACTCGTTTTTTGCATTTCGGAATAAATTTGAAGATTATTGTATTGCATCGAAAATAAGATATGTAGAGTTCCTTTCCTTGAATATAAGTGTTTTGTATTTTTATGGACCCATGTAGATCAGTAATATTGTGTGAAGTGAAAGGTGACTGTGTAAGAGGTAAACAATATTTTATTTTGGGTGTGTAGAAGCCTAATAATTTAGATGTCTTTGAATTTTATGTGAAACCTTTAACAGAAAGTGTCAGTATTTAATTACTAAAGATCAATATTTTTATTTGGATAATGCAGTTATCTCTTGCCGTAAGGCAAATTTTCATTTTGTATGTTTTATTATTCTTGAATCTATGACCACACCACTTTTGAACCAAAGACTAGAAACAACTTATATTTACTGTGGAGACTAAGCCTAAACTGATGCTGTATTTAGTGATATATTTCCAGTGAAGTCACCACACTATAATGCCAGGAGGTTTTTTATTATGGAGGTTTGTTGGTATGTACTGTATATATAACAGTGAACATATACAAAACTATACGACATTGAAATCTTACCAGTACGCTCTCTCAAGATTAGTTGCTTGTTTCTTTAGGTTATGTTTATAAGACTTCTTTTAATCATGTTGATCCTGATTAATTCAAATCCATATTAAACCCAAAACTCTAGGTGATCTGTTATGGAAGGCCTATAATTTTATGTCCATCCAAGCATTGGTGTGATGTCAAATGAACAGAAACCCCTTGTCCCACACATGCATGCTAAGGACAATAAACATCCACCATGCATATTTTAGGAAGTTAGTGCTAGGACAGGTTCCTTTTGCGATGAGATATTTCAGTGAAAGTTTATTGTCTTTATCTTGGTATTATAGTCTATCAATGATAGCAGTTTAGTGACTGTTGCTGGACTGTGCTAACATCAGAATGTCTCTCTTTAATATTATGCATTGTAGATAATGAGTATGTCTCATTGCTATGAGACAAAGTCTCTTTTACTCCAGCCAATGGTTAATCTTTACAGTATGGATGCACTAGCCTAGGTAGGGCATAGTGAATATGATACTTTTGTAGGGGACAAAAGGTTGCAGTACCAGTACAAGAAATAATCTGCTGACACAAACTGTAATGCCACAAATGAAGGAAAAAGATTGTGAAATGCACTGGCATAAGTCCACTCGATGTTCCTGAGATTCAGCTCTATCATGCCATGCATGCAGAGATGAAGGTGATGCTTCCCATGGGGTGTTAGCTGACAAACCTCCCCATCGGGCACTGCTTAGTCACGTCAACTTAAGTTGATAAATAAATTTTGTAATGTGGTGTTGGGGACTTAGTTTCAGGAGAGTGTGTCCATACTGTAAACAATTAGCCTACCCAGCCAACAAGCTTGGGGTACTCATAGGATTTTGATGTCTTTATCTGGAGAGGACATCTATGTCAGTTCTATAATTATAATTTTCAAAGGGGCCCAAGATGCTTTCCCTACAGGGGCATGCTCCTGGAACCTACGTCTTTCATTGGGACATTTTTCCTACTGTGGTCAAGCCTTCACACCCCCTTTCCCTGGGACATTCCCATAACAGGTGCAAGCCCCAGGACTTCCTTCCCCTGTGGTATTATGGCATTGTAGTCCATAACATAATGGCACTCAAATGATATAGATTTTGATAATTTCTTGCAAGTTTTATTTGTATAAAGTCAGGGTAGGCTATCCATTACCACACGTAACACTAGACATCGCACTTAGTTCAGTGTGTGATGAGGGTCAAAAGGGTAAGTGTAGTCAAATATGCTGTTAAATTTGCTTTGTATAGACAAGTGACATTCATTATGTGTCATTGTTATGGCAATGTGTAGATTTCACCAGAAGTAGTATAGACTAAACACTAAAAGAAAGAAAAAAAGAAAAAAAAAACACAGAGGGTTAAGACATATAAAAACAGTATTAATTGAGGAGGATTTACTTTTATACTGATTTAATGAGGCTATTTAGAGCCATCCTATAAAGCTCTCTGTATAGTTTACATTCAAGATGGTTTGAGATAACGAGGTTTGTGGACTGCAGCTAGTGAGATCCAAATGGTTTTACTGATTTTCCTGACATCTATGAATACAAATTGATGAGCCTATAAACCATTGATGTTTTTATTAATATAGTGAGGCCTTCATAGTAATGCTAGAATTACCCACAACAGGCAAGTGGAAGTGAAAGACAGGAGAAAAATTAAAAATACTAGCCAGCATTGAGTCATGAAAGATATGGATAGACCTTTGTTCTGCTGTTTAGACATACTTTGAAATTTACTGTGAAGAGCATGCAGTCTTTAGTTTAACATGATAGTAGTTTAGCACAAATTCTGTGCTGCAGGATTCACCAAAGGCCAATGAAGGAGAATTAGTCTTTTTTGGAGTGCCAGTGTTTTTCAGGCATTTTTCAATAGATATATATTTTTTCATATACTTCATAGAATAATTCTTTAGAAAATAAGATTTTAAATTTTGCTGTAGACTATTGAATATAAAAAAAAAATATATAGGAGATATGATTGTAGATAGAATAAACATTAAGAGGAGAAAAAATATAAATTTAATTTTTTGGTGGACATTTTTACAATGAAATGGTAAAGGATCAGAAAAACATTATTAACCTTCAATATTCTGTGGTATTTTAACCTATGCATATACAGCTAAATCCATTAATATGTTGGCCTCTTTAATAATTGAAATGCAAACAAACTTCTACCATATATATCTAGGCAAGTTTGTTCACTTCCCTAAGGAATGCTTGTCAGAAGTTCTATAGAAAGGTTTAATGCATTGGCAGACCAGTATACAGGCCTGGCTTACACAAATGGTATTGACAAGTGTAATGTTGCAATTTGATAGTTACTGGTACCTTGATCTTTCATCTGCAGATATTTTGGATAAAACATGCATGGAAAAAATGATATGGACATTATTGACTTCAATATTAAGAAATGCATTGAAAATGGAGAAGCTACTCTAAAATCTAGTTTTATTTCACTTGTGATTTTTATATATTCAGTATGTATATTATAGGAACCTTATTGTTTATGGACAGAACAGGAACAAAAGTTATAATTATAAACATGCTGATATTACAAATGTTTGCATTATTACTCTCAATTTTCAGCCACATTCATTACAATCTACATGGGGTGATACTGTAGGTTTCACACTTTAAACCCTGCAAAAGATCAACAAATATCCCCTATGTATATGCTTCAAGATAGACTAAAGCTTGAACTGGTTCCTTATTTGACATTTAATCACCTGGGGTTACTAAGTTGCCAGAATATTAAAGATAGCTTTGTTTGGTTTTGCAGGAGATATATAAAGTAACACTCTATGGCAACATTGGAATTGGTCAAGGGATTTGCGAACAATTATGGCCTTACCATTATTCTCTACAAGTTATTAATCATGTATATTATTGATGATTTATATCTTCTATATAGACATCGTCTGTCCTGTCATGAATGTTTAATGTACTGGTATTACTTCTTAATCCTGATTCCCACTTGGATAGCAAACATGTGACACTGTCTAAGTGAAATACA